TGGGCAGCCAGTAGCTTCAGAGGACAAAGCTCTCCCAAGGCCTTGGAGCTCTTGTACCACTGGTAACTGCTGGAATGGGCATCTGCCTGTGAGAGAGCCCACCCCAGAGGGTGTCTGACACTTGAAAATGCAAGTGTGGCTTGAAACCTCATGCAAAAGAAAGATGAAGACCTTTGCCTGTTGCTATGACATCAGCCATCCACACACCCAGCAAATCCGGACAATGGAATGCAGACTAACTATATTTTACAGGAATAAATTGAAAGATTATTCTGGGGTATTTTCCCCTTAAGTCCACACAGAAGGAAATGGGTGTGGTGCCTTATCCTGTCAGGTCCTCTAAAGATCCATATGTGACTGGGAATGGTTTTGTATAGAAATAATCTTGTGGGGGCGCCTGGGTGGCTCAGTTGGTTAAGCGACTGCCTTCGGCTCAGGTCATGATCCTGGAGTCCCTGGATCAAGTCCCGCATCGGGCTCCCTGCTCAGCAGGGAGTCTGCTTCTCCCTCTGACCCTCCTCCCTCTCATGCTCTCTGTCTCTCATTCTATCTCAAATAAAAAAAAAAAAAAGAAAGAAAGAAATAATCTTGTGGTTGGTGTAAGTTTTCTCAAACTGGAAGGTGGTAGGAGGGATTTAATTGCATTCTTAAGGGCTTGGGTGTTTTGTGAGGAAGTTTAAATATTGAGTTTCCATTTTAAAGATGGTATAAAAAATCATCTTACTGGTTATAAAGAGATAATACATTTGTAGTGATAATTCACATCTGAAAAACTTTTTTTGTAGAAGACTTTTGTTCCTTTTTTTCAGACTTCTCTTTTTTTTTTCCTTTGTTCATTTGTTTGTTTCTTAAATTCCATATATGAGTCAAATCATATGGTATTTGTCTTTCTCTGACTGGCTTATTTTACTTCGTATTATACCCTCTAGCTCCAACTATGTTGTTGCGAATGGCAAGATTTCATTCTTTTTATGGTTGAATAATATTCTCCTGTACATATTTACTACATCTCCTTTATCCATTCATCAGTTGATGGACCCTTGGGCTGCTTCCACAATTTGGCTATTGTAAACAGTGCTGCAATAAATGTAGCGATGCATATATCTTTTCAACTTAGTGTTTTTGTATTCTTTGGTTAAATACTCAATAGTGTGATTACTGGATCATAAGGTAATTCTATTTTTAGCTTTTTGAGGCACTGCCATACTGTTTTCCACAGTAGCTCTGCCAGTTTGCACTCCCACCAACAGTGCATGAAGGTTCCTTTTTCTCCACATTCTCGCCAACACTGGTTTCTTAAGCTTTTGATTTTAGCCATTCTGGCAGGTGTGAGGTGCTATCTCAGTGTAGTTTTGATTTGCATTTTCTTGATGATGAATAACGTTGACCATTTTGTTGTGTCTGTCGGCCATCTGTATGTTTTCTTTGGAGAAATATCTGTTCATGTCTTCTGCACATTTTTAATTGGATTATTTGTGGGTTTTGGGGGGTGGAGTTGTGTAAGTTCTTTATATATTTTGGATGCTAAGGACTTCTGTTTCTTAAAGTAGTGTTTCTCCCACTGAAATAAGTGGGTATATTCTTGAGATTTTATGAGAATTTTTTCCCCTTGTAAAGGTTAATATAATTCTTAAATGAGAAATATCAGTCTTGTACATTAAAATTTTTTTTTTAAATTACAATATCTATCTATAATTTGGGATTAGTCTCCCTTTATCTCGGTTTCTCCATTAAATTAGTGGGAACTCATTCCCTTAAATGAGATGTAAAATCAGGTGAAATTAATAGGCTATTGCTCTTTTCAGTGGAAAGATGAGGAATTAATTGTTTTAGGCTTAAATGTAGTTCTTGAGCAGCAATGCACAGCACTATGGAGAAGGGAACAGTTCGTTCTTATCCAGAAGGCTTGTGGGGTAAGGGAGATGTGGAACAGAAGCTCAGAGCCAGCCGGGCAGCTCCTCTGCAGGGGTAGAACATCCTGGGCTCGATCAGCACAGGAGGCCTTGCCAGGAGCAGCAGTGGGGCTTCTGTTTTGGCCAGTTGAGCAGAGTAAAGCTCTAAGGTGAGGACTGGTGCAAGGAGTAGGTGAACGTGTGTGTGAAAGTACCGAGCACAGTGCGTGGCACAAAGCAGAGGCCCCCTACGTGTTCATTCTGAATCTTCAATTCAATTCAATTCTGAATTCAATTCAATTCAATTCAACCTGTCAACAGCTTGACAGGACTGTTGTTTTGATTTTTTTCTGGATAAGCTTTTATATTACACTGAACCTAGCTTGGGTAGAGTCAAACAAACAGGTTCACATTTGACAAGCCTACAGTGGGTATCTACCATATGCCAGACACATGTGCTAGGCAATTTTCTAGATGAAACCCCAGTCCTTCTCCAGTCCTCCAGTGTTCTAGGGTCAACTTGTCCAATAACACCCAAATGAATAACTGCAGTCTTATCTCACGCTACTCTGGAAACCCAAAGCCCAAAGTTTCTGGAAGGAAATTCCCATTCTCCTAGAACTTTCTGTCCAGTTCACTTTATACTGAAATGAAGATCCAGCCTCTTCTTCTAAATCGTTCCTCAAAACATACCACAAATCCGGGCTGTTGTGCCCATAAATTGAATTCAGCTGCTTCTCTAGAAAACTGCCTCTGCATTAGGATTTTTATCCCAAAGTCCAAGAGCATTTTTCCATTTTTACCTCGACCTTTAATTTCTGTCCCCGAGGAAGCCACCCTGCTTAGAAAGACAGAAGCCCTTGCTCAGGCCAAACTCTATACTGTTAACTGTACCTAGATCCAGAATACCAGACACACAGATTTATTCTCATGCTTATCAATGCCTAAGTAGAAGTTAAGGATTATTAGAAAAGAAGAAGTTGCCTTACATTTCAGATTTTACAAAGTCTTTCTATTTTAAGGTCTTACCTCAGTTGTTTTACTTTGGAAAATAGAGTATTATCTGGGTAAGAGCTCCATCAATACTAATATTGGCTGCCTATAGAGGTCCCCTGATGCACTCACTTGAAAACAAAGGAGGAAAATAAATTAACATAGATTTAGTCATTATTCCTGGGTATATGACCACAGCATTATAATTAAACTGCCTTGTAAACAAGTCTTTTAAGATTACTTTTCAAAGCCGTACAGTAAATGGTTAAGTTTTGACAATCAGGGAAGTATACCCCTACTGAAGGAATGCAAACCAACACTGGCCTGCTATCATGTGAATGTGTGCTTGTGGCTTGCTTTGAGCTTGTGTTCAGCTGCACGTAATAGAAGCCTAACTACGATGGCTTCCTCAAAGACTGAATTCTTCTTACGAGGCAATAAGTTTGGATATAAGGAGCTCAAGTCCAAGTAAGGCAGTTCCCCAAATCCATTAGGAACACGGGCTCCTGTTCACTTTCCCCTCCCTGTCCTCATTGTGCGGTTCTAGTCCTTGTGATGACAAGACGACAGCTCCACCTCCCAGTTTCCTGTCCACATTTCAGGCAAGAAAAAGAAAGGAAGGGTTAGGACTAGAAGAGAAAGTCAAAAAAGTGCATGCAAGCTGAATACCCTGTTCATCAAGAATTTTTTCCTAAAGACCCACCCAGCAATTTCTGCTTCCTTCTCATTGGTCAGAAGTTGAACTATGGTATATGGTCAAGTCTAGCTGCAAAGGAGTCTGGGAAGCTGAGTTTTTCTAGTGGAGCACATTATTCTACCCAAGCAAAATTGGAGTTCCATAGTTAAGGGGAAGAATAATGGCTGTTGGGAGAGCAATAAGCATCATCAATAAGCTAGAGCATCATCAGAGGCTCAAAGCATGCTATATTGCAAGCAGCTTACATGGAAGTGAAAATGATGTATTCTGGAAAACAGATGACACTAGTGATCTATAGATCAGGGCATTCAAACTTTAGAGTGCATAATAATTGCCTGGGAAATCTTGTTAAAATGCATATTTGGGGGGTGCCTGGGTGGCTTAGTTGGTTAGCATTTGACTCTTGATTTCGGCTGAGGTTGTGATCTCAGGGTCATGAGATCAAGCCCTGTGTTGGGTTCCACACTCAGCAGGGAGTCTACTTGAGATTCTTTCTCTCCTTCTTCCTCTGCCCCTCCCCCTCCTCCATGCGCTCTCTCTCTCTCTGTCTCTCTCTCTCAAATAAATACATAAATCTTTTTTTTAAAATGCATGTCTGGGGATCCTGGAGTCACAGGATCAAGTCCCGAGTTGGGCTCCCTGCTCAACAGGGAGTATGCTTCTCCCTCTGACCCTCCCCCCTCCCATGTGCTCTCTCTCTCTCTCATTCTGTCTCTCTCAAATAAATAAAATCTTTAAAAAAATGGTTTATTGATTTGTTAATAAATAACATTTCTAGGTCAGTGCATTTTATATAGTATTAATTTAAAATATGTATAGCAGATTTAATAACCAAAACTGTATAGATGAACGTTTAAAATTGTATATACTCAAGATGGCCCCCTGAAACTTTAAAGAAATTAATCCCAATGATAAATTAGGAAAACAGCCTTTTATTTGGAGTTGCTTTCTAACTGGGGCATATTGAGTAATTTTACTTATTTATTTTTACATTTATATTTTTAAAAGATTTTGAGAGAGAGAGAGAGAGAGCACAAGCAGGGAGGAGGGGTAGAGGGAGAAGGAGATGCAGACTCCCTGCTGAGCAGGGAGCCTGAACTCAGGACTCAATCCCAGGACTCTAGGATCATGACCTGGGCCAAAGGCAGATGCTTAACCAACTGAGCCACCCAGTTGCCCCTACTGAGTAATTTTAGAGTCAAATACTCTTCTGGATTCAATACCTTACTCCTGGGGCTACTGTTTCACTCACACTCAGTAAGACAAGCTATTTTTTAATACAGGTAGTAAGCGGAAAACAAAAAAAGAGAGAGAGAGAGATATGGTTCTCAACACAGACAAATCTGAGTTTTGATCCCAGTTGTAGAAATGATATATTTCTACATAATAAATCTCAAAATTTAGTGGCTTACCACAACCATAATCATTTATTATCTCATGTATTTCTATGGGTCAGGAATTTAGGTGTGGCTTGGCTGGGCAGTTCTCACGAAGGGGCTGTCAGATGTCCACTGGGATTGATGTCATCTGAAGGCTTGAGAGGGGTTGCAAATCTACTTCCAAGGTGGTTCATTTGGTTGATGTTGGCTTTTCATGGGGGATCTCAGTTCCTCTTCACAGGGCTGCTCGAGTGTCTTCACAGCATAGCAGCTGGTTTCATCCAGAGTGAATAATTCAGAAGATCAAAGTTGAAGCTACAATTGTTAGCTAGGATGCAGCAGGAAGTTACTCAAATATGACAGCTGAAGGAGGGCAAGGGACAAAAGCAGGGAAGGAACGTGTCTTGTTTGTTGTTTTGTTTTTTAAAGATTTTTATCCATTTATTTGACAGAGAGAGACACACAGCGAGAGAGGGAACACAAGCAGGGGGAATGGGAGAGGGAGAAGCAGGCCTCCCACAGAGCAGGGAGCCCGATGCGGGGCTCAATCCCAGGACCCTGGGATCATGACCTGAGCCGAAGGCAGACGCTTAACGACTGAGCCACTCAGGAGCCCTGGAATGTGTCTTGTTTTGTAGAACCAACAGTTCCAGCCAAGGAGACACCCAGCTAGGTGTTTCACCGGATAAACCCTCATGGGAGCCAGTCTGAGCTGGACTGGACCTGAGGATCTGTGCAGAAGCCCCTCTGAGTTGTCCTGAAGTTACCTTTAGCTCATTATAACACTAAGGTCTCCTCCTATGGGCAGAGTTTTCCCCATTTTTTGAACATATGATGTGTGTACTAGCATGTTGACATGCTAAGCATGCACTATTGAACCAAAGAGCCTATGCAAGCTCCCTGCCCCCGCCCCTAATGCACTGAATAAATCTTCCTATCCTAACCTCATGGGGAGACAGTGTTCTGAGAGCTATCTCCCTGTCTCCTTTCTTGTAACAAGTAAAACAAAATTCTTCGCTTTCAACACTTCTCAGAGTGCGTTCAATATGATGGTGACAAACCCCTTGAGTTTAGTTAGCCTCTGAAGTCATACACCATCACTTGTACCATGTTCTACTGATTTTAATCAAATCAGCTCTGATTTTAATATGGGAGTAAACTACACAAGAGTGGGAATGTCCGGAGTTAAAGATCATTGAGAATCTTCATAGACACTGGCTGGCCGTCATAGTTCAGCTGTGCCCATAGAGAAGGTCCCATAGAGCCTCTCTGCACTAATGTCCTTATCTATAAAATGGGAATTCATAATAGCCTCTAACTCATGAAGGTGTTTGAAGATGAGATAATATATGTCAAATGCTTTTCATTTAGTAAGAACCCAGTATGCATTAGCCATAATCATCATAATAGCGTTATCAACATTGTTAGATGATAGCTGTGATACTGTGATTTATAATAAGAAATATAAATTTGGTCTTCCTCTCCTACACACAGCTTCTAAAACCCTTGTCACTTCCTAAGTAATCATAGAAATGGGAGAACCTTGTGTTCTTTTGTACTAGTTCCCAAAATAGCTCCAGAGCAGAAAAGTAAAAGGAGTGTCTTTTGTTATTCACAAGGATGCCCTATCAACCATGTCTGAGTTTACAGTCACTGAAGTGGATTTTGGAGAGCCCTTAGATAATGAGAATGGTGACTGGTTGCCAGGGAAACCAACTTTGTGACTAGGGAGTTTGAACTTTCAGCCTGCCCTCCAACCACCAGGGAGGGGGAGGGGATGGAGGTTGAGTTAGTCACCAAAGGCCAATGATTTAATCAATCAAGCTTAAATAAGGAAGCCTCCATAAAAATCCCCAAAAGTATGAAACCTGGAGTTCAGAGAGCTTCTGGGTTGGTGAAGACGTGGAGGTGTTGGGAGGGTGGTGTGACGGAAGGGGACGTGGGACCTCTGCCTCCTTCCCCCATACCTGGTCCTATGCATGCCATCTCTCCTACATTCAGCTGCTCCTGAGTTGTATCCTTTCATAGAAAACCAGTAACCTAGTAAGTAAAACTGTTTTTCTGTGAGCCATTCTAGCAAATTATCAAACCTGAGGAGGAGGTTGTGGGAACCTCCAATTTATAGCCCGTCAATCCAAAGCACAACTGACAACCCAGCCTTGCGGTTGGTGTCTGACGGGATGGGGCAGTCTTACAGGACAGATCCTTTTAATTTGCGGGATGACATTACCTCCAGGTAGATAGTGTCTGAATGGAGTTAAATTTTAAGATGCCAGCTGGTGTTGGAGAACTGGTCAGTGTGACAAAAAACTCCATACCTTCGGTGACTAGAAGTGAAGTTTTGAGAGTATTGGGTGTGGAGAAGGGAAACAGTAGAGCTTTTTCCTTTTATGGCTAACAACCTTCCCACACAAAAACTGTATCTCTCAGTCCAGTTCACAGACAAGTCCACCTTCTGTTGGTGGTCATGTAGAAGGGTGGCACAGAGCCACTCATTCCTTGATAGATTCATAGCCTGTGAGAGCCTCCCATCTCTCACATGCCGCTCCCTGCCCTACAGATCACACACTTCAGCTGTCTTTATTGAACACCTTACATTTCGATGTTACTCCACCCTTTATGCCTTTGTACATGCTCTTCCCTCTGCCTGGAACACTCTGTCTCTCCAAAATGTCACGTAACATCAACTTATTCTTCTTTTCTCAATAAATATACTGATTTGTTTTCCTATGCATTCTCCTTTCTCTTTCTTTCTCCCATATTTTCCTTCATTCATTCAACAGACAGTTACTGAATGTCACCCAGGTGCCGGGAAGAAAATTGGTCAACAAGATAAAGTGCCTGTCTTCCTGTAACTTACAGTTTGGTGAGGAGGAAGATAAGAAGTATCCTCCCCTCAAAAGAAATACAGAAACATATCATGTGATGACAAGGGCTATGAAGAAATACTTAGCGAGGTAAAGAGACAAACAGTTGTGGATGCAGGGGGCTATTTTAAGTCAGAGTAACTTAAATAATTTAAATATATTTATCTTCCTTGTAGCCTATAAAAACCTCAGTGCCAGACATTAAATTATTTACCTCTGTATCTCCAGTACTTAATATGTCTGGATCCAAGCAGATATTTAGTAAATATTTGTTGAATTAAAAAAAAAAATGTATGAATGAATGAATGTTAGATTCCAATATAAACCCCAGATGAGAAACTTACAGCCCAGAGAGGTTTGATTTTTCCCAAGAAGAAACAGAGAGCAAGAAACAGAAATCTTAACTCTGAGAATGCTTTCTTCATCTACGGCCATACCACCCTGAACGCGCCCGATCTCATCTGATCTCAGAAGCTAAGCAGGGTCGGGCCTGGTTAGTACTTGGATGGGAGAATGCTTGCTTCAACGACAATGCTGTTTTTACTGTGTCATATTATGCATGCCTAAAACATCTTTGTTTTAATAATGCCCCATCTGTTCCTCTTTCAGTGTTGACTAGACTCGGCTACTTGAATGGAATTCTGAGAGCTTGTTTTTCCAGTTTTTTACTTAGTCTTCATGGAAACCATCACTGTTTACTCTTGAATAGACAAAGGGCTTCACCAAAGTCCCAACAGTATATTTGTCCACCTGGTCAAGCTTGGTTGGTCATAAGCCACATGGATTTGATATGCACAGGGGATCAGGAACCAAGAAAGAGTACCCACTGAGATCCCCTAAGATGCTTTTATAGAGGAAAAAGAAATCTGGGACAATAGTTCTCAAACTTTTTGGCTCAAGAAAACTGTCTTAAAAATTACTGAATACCCCGGATGCCTCGGTGGCTCGGTCAGTTAAGCATTCAACTTTATTGATTTCAGTTCAGGTCATGATCTCAGGGTCGTAAGAATGGAGCCCTGGATGGGACTCTGTGCTGAGTGTGGAGCCTGCTTAAGACTTTCTCTCCCTCTCCCTTTGCCCCTCCTCTGCTCTTAAAAAAAAAAAAAATTGAATACCCCAAATAGCTTTTGTGTATGTGAATTATATCTATTGATATTTGCTGTATTAGAAATTAAAACAATAATTTTTAAAAATGTACTAATTTAAAAAAATAAAAATGCATTACTATGTTAACATAAATAACATTTTTATGAAAACTAATTGCATTTTTCAAACTAAATACATAATGAGGAGAGTGGCATTGTTTTATATTTTGAAAATCTCTTTTATGTCTAGCTTACTAGAAGAAAGCTGGGTCCTCCTATCTGCTTCTGCATTCAGTTTGTTGTGATACCACACATCATTTGGCCTCTGGAAAACTGCACTGCACATCCATGAGAGAATGAGTATGAAATAGTCAAATAACATTCTGTGCTTATTGCACCAAGAATGAGTATTCTTGGTAGCACGTGGCATGTGGAATTTTCCTGTTCATTAGATTTCACTACAGCTAAAAGTCCCTTAAATTCATCCAAACACAGTTCTTCAAACTACGAAGATATTTACTTTATACCATGAAAGAAACAAAACAATTTTTTTCCTAGAAGGAGCTAAAGAGATCACTAAAGCTTATGAAAAAAAAAAACACGAAGAAAAAAGTAAACATAAAATAAGGACTTGAAAATCCATGAACATTAAGGAAGCTGCCTTTTGCTCAACACAGTGACGGAAATTAAATTCACCATTTCATCCATTCACTCATCAAAGAGTCATAAAGCTTGCAGGCTAGCTTTTGGAAATACCAACATATTCCCCCGTAGGCTCTCCCATTTCTGCCACTGGTATCACCATCTACCTGGTTGTTTGGTAGCCACTGGACTTCTTCCTTTTCTTTACCATACTTCCCACCTGTCTGCCAGGGCTACTGATGAACTCCAAAAGGTGTCTCAAACACGTTGACCCTTCTCTATCCTCATCACCTCCACTTTAACCAAGTCTGGACCCCTGCAATTGTTCCTAACTGTCCTAATCATTCATTCATCCATCCATCCATCCATCCATCCACCCATCCATCCACCCATCCATCCATCCACCCATCCAATATTTATGATTACCTGCTAGGTACCAGGAACTTTTCTTTTTAAAAATGTGATTTATCTATCTATCTATTTATCTATCTATCTATGGGGGGGGGGGCATAAGCAGGGGGAGTGGCAGGCAGAAGGAGAAGCAGGCTCCCCGATGAGCAAGGAGCCCGATGTGGGACTCGATCCCAGGACCCTGAGATCATGACCTGAGCCAAAGGCAGATGCTTAACTGACTGAGCCACTCAGGCATCCCAAGCAGGAACTTTTCAGCATAGTTGAAGACAGAGTTGGGAAACAGACAAAATCCCTGCCTTTATGGACCTTTCATTTAGTGGAGGGGAGAGAAACAAAAAATCCATTTACACAAATA